TATTCCAGTACAAGGTATGGGGAGAAGAGACCTCTTGGACCTCTTGGCCACCATGTTGTCCTCAGTGGTCTGTCCATGCAACGTTCCTGCTGGCAGCTGTGACCACAGGTCAGCTGCTCAGATGGAAATGTTCTTTCTTTTTAGGCTATTCACGGATTGTGGGCAGGTTAAAACTGCCTCTGTCCAGTATCAACTAGGACATTCTTGTAAGCCTTAGGCTGAACTTTTGCTGTCCCTTCTAGCTGAGATCTACAGGGGCCTGGATCAGCAGAACATAGTTTTAGATCCAGCTGAAAGCCCAGAGCACATGAAAGTGCCCAGAGCAAGGTGAATCTGAGCACTGCTGTGGTTTATTTGACCATCAAATAGCCAAGGCAGCAGTTGGTGTTGGACTGGCAGTCAGAAAGCCACTGCTGAGTCAAACTCCAGTCCTGTATTTTGCAGTAATTAGCAGGTTTGAGCACGTCCTTCCTTCAGCCAAAAATCCTGGGAGATGGCACAAGTCTGTATTTTATTGTGTTCATTAATTTAGTGAGCCTGTGTATGTTGTATTTGAGGGAATGTTTTGTGTTCAGGTTTGTAGAGCTGAATCTGATTCTGTTTTACAGGAGACAGCCCAGTTGTCCATAGCAACCTGAAATTGATTTTTTCCCCCCCTGCCTACTGAAAGCTGTTCCCTCTTGAATCATCCCTTTAATTTAATACAGTGAGCAGGATGTCCCTGCATGTGGAAACTTTTTTTTTTTAACACCGAGTAACCTAGGCAAGAAAAAATCCTTATATGAACAACAGCTCTGACTCTGTTGCCACTCGGCATTAGTCCTTTCTATGCCATTTCCTTGTGCTTCATTTCAGGTACTGGAGGCCGTTATCTCTATCAGTTAATCACCGTTGCTGCCTCAGGGGGATGTCCCCCTACATGTCCTCTTGGCAGCAGGTCCCTCTTTGTCATGAAACCCTCTAGGCTGCCTTGGCCCAGTGTATTTGTTATGCTGAAAAGTCTATTCTTTGTAGTGTGTGTAGAATCAGCCCTGTGCTTTCCCCTGACTTGCAGTGGTACCCACACGTGGCACTGGTGATGCAGTGGCTCTGGCTCTGGTGTTCCTTGCAATGGGAATGCCCTGCCCAGCTTTTCATCTCGGCTAGAGGAGAAGGGCTGAGGCCTGTGCTGTTCAGGGCAATGACACTGTTGTCAGATGTCCCCTCCACCTCTTGCTAATGAGGATGCTCAGGGCCAGGAGCTGCCAGGGGGCTCTGCTGCAGAGACCCCGCACGGGTGAAGTGCTGCCTCCATCTCAGCACTGTCAGTGTGGGTAGCCTGGGGCATATACAGACCTGGAGGTAAATACATGCTCTGTGTTGACCTTGCTGAATAATTTAAACTCAGAAAAGCACTATAATACCTGCTGCTTACAATCTTCTCTGACTTGTACTCCTTTGGTCTTTTTTCCTATACTAGGTCTCTGCTGTTGTCAAAACCTCTTTTTCTGGGTTTTTCCAGCGGGAGTGGCTTCAGTGGAAGCTGGTTGGAAGGTGTTTGGGAAGAATGGGAGGAATTGCCGTGCTGGTTTACTCCTATTTAGAAATCTGTGTCATGCCTGGGGATTCCAAGGGAGTGATTGCCTTGTCATAGGATTGCCAGGGATGAGGAATTTAGGACAGTTGTGGTTTTGCTACCTGGAAGAACACTTGCCTGTCTTTTGGAAGACCAACAGCTTGTGTGTGGTCAGCACAGATTGCAACCTTTTTCCATATTTCCCCATTTTCACATTTTCCACATTTGCCCCTGGATTTTGCACAGAAAGGCAAGACAGCAGAGATTTTCTCCTGTGCTCTTAGTTCTTGCCCTGCTTGTTGGGGAGCCATGGGAGGAGGAGGTGTTGCTGGGGCAAGGTGTGCCATGGTAGCAGTTGTACCACCAGCACTTGTCCCCGTTGGCTGTTCCGTGCAGAGAGAAGCAAGCTGCTGCTTGCATCTACACTTGGGCCATTAGCACAAATTGCACCAATCTGTGCTGTGAAATGTCTGCCTTTTCCTGGCTTGTTTTATGAAAAGTTAAAAAAAAAAGGGGGGGGGGGGGACGGAAACGGCACGAAATCAATATGGCAGAGGCGTCTGTTGCGTGTTCACCTGCTGTCACTGCGAGAGGAAGCCGTGTCACTTGACACGCCTGGTGTACGGCACTTGTTGAGAAGATAGTTATTTCATCTCTCTCTAATTTTTTTGCATCAGTCAAAAAATGGTTTGTTTAATGTGCATCATCTGAACATTTCACTGAATAAGCTACCCAAAAAGGTTAATCTCCAATTCTGTAATGTTTTTACTGTCGCATCCAGCTGCTTCAGAGACAGCAATGAGTGTACCTCTAATGATGACTTCCAGATGCAGAAGTAGCAGAGGCATCTACTTCTTTCAGGTGCCAAAACTGAGACTTACAAGGCCTGTTTTTTCAGAACACTTCATGTTTTGTAGCACTGTACATGATTATAGTGCAAGTCTCAATTAAAGGTTGAACAGAAAATTTCAGTCTCTGACTGGTAGTTCTTGTCTCTTCTGGACATGGTCTTTCTATATCTTAGCCAGGAAGGGCAAAGCAATAAATATGTGGGAAAAAATTGATATATGTGACTTTGCTTGTATCGTTCAGAAGGTTTATGGCAGAGGCATAAACAGGATCTAATCTTTCCAAGTGATGCTAAGCTACCAGACCACAAAGCATCCTTTCTGGTCTCCTTACCATGCCTGCCTTGCATGCTCCCCATCTTCTGAAAACTGAATGAAGGCTAGGAGACCACTGTCCCACATGGCTGCAACCTCCTTATTGACGTGACTTGGCTTTCATACACCACTAGCAAGTAGAGTCTTCAGGTCTCAGTGAGTGTGTGCCCATGTTGTCATTCCTCCTTTCAACAGGAGTACTGCCTGCCTGAGAGATGGGTATGATCTGGCTGGGCTAAGCACAAGTTCCTCGACTGTTGTCTGTAACTTCTGTCAGCAGGATATTTGTAAATTTAAATGCTTCCTCACAGAAGTATCAAAGGAACTAAGGCCACTTTTCAGCATGAACATGAAAGGCTTTCGCGCACTGGTGCAGCAAGGATTGCCATGGAGAACAAAGGCTTTTGCTAATCGCTTCTAATGCCTTTCAAGTTTATGCCTCATTTTTTCCTCTTTTTCAGACAGCCTCCCAGAGTAGAGACTTCAGTGACTGACTCACCAAATAATTAACAGGAGGAGGACTCCATCTCTGAAACTTTTGAACACCTCTTCTAATTTTCTTAAACCAGCCAGTACTCTGGCCAGAATCCAATTTGTGTAATTACATTTGACCTAACTTAATCCCTTGGCAGTTTCAATTGCATGTGGTAGTCGTCTTGGCTCCCTGTCCTGGGCTGCCATTCAATGCTACTCCGTGGTTTTCAACAGCTGTTGTAATTCAGCTGTAGAAATGGGTGTATTTTCTTGGTGGAAGCATTCCTCATATCTCTATCCCTTGCTAAACATCCTTATCTCACTAGTATTTTGGGAGGTAACATGTCTGATGCTGCAGATGGTCTTGCTGAAGTCCTTGGAGCTCTTTTCACTCTTAAAGATGAGCATACATTTAAACTCTTATTAGTTAGTCCGTCATATATTTTGAGATGCTTTTGAGTTTTTCATCTTCATTAAGAGGCATTTATTTCTCCATCTCCTCAGCTAGTGTGTGCCACGTTAGGGACTTTATTGGTGCAGGTATTCCTCTTTAGCATTGGAAACAGTACTTCTGTTATCAAATCTGTGTTAAATAGGAGTTTGTCACCTTCCTGTGCTGACAGCAGTTGGGCTGGCTGGCTGTAAGTGTTGGCATTGGTAAGAGTGCAAGTGATGAAGGAAAGCAAAAGCCCAGGGCAACTGAGAAGGATTGCAGAGGAAAAAAAACACATCCTAAGTAGAAACTTGGAGATGGACAAAGTGCAGCAGCCAAAGGGACAGTTGGATGGATGATGCATGCAAAAGAGAAGACCCCGAGTTGTTGCATTGGCACACGCTTAGATGTGCAACAGGTATCTTGTTTTCACAGCAGGTGGCAAATTGAGTGTTTCTTGGCTTCAGCCCTCGGAAAAGGCGTATTTGTTACAAAGCCACTTGATCCTTTGGGACCAGGAGCAGCCCCTGCTGAGAGGAGACAGGAATTTAGATGAGATGGGGTGAAAAAGGTGATCTGCTGCTGAAAGATGCAGTTGTGGCAAATTGTCTTCTACCATTTAGCTCTGCTTTTCTGAGAGTCTCCAGAAGTAGGATGGGAAATATATTTTTGCTGCTCTCCCTTTTTACTTGGTATCTCTCATAAAATTTGGGATGTTCTTAATATTCAGAACTCTCCCCTGTGTTTCCAAACACTGCTCAATCTAAATCCTTTCTTTATTCTTTCTACATTGTCAACATACCCTTGGGTTCATGAGAAAGATTTCATTTTGCTAGGTGGAATATCCTAAAGATGGAGGTAAGGACTATGTTGGGAACACAGAAATTATTCAGCCATTCATAAGGCCTGACTTTGATCCTCTGGGTCTCTCCCATAATTACACACATTTAAATCTCAGAGTAGAGTAGAAGTCTTGTCTCTGTTGTTTTCAGTGACCATGTAAATAAAGTCACCAGTGGTAACATTAAGATTTGTCCTCTGTCACAGTATATAAATGTTTGGAGTTGGAGCCATTTTATTTTGATGTGTGCTGCCTATAACTTACAGCCTGGCAGAACTTTCTGCAAAATCCATGAACACTTTGTTAAAACAGAGATTTATCAAACCCTTATGGTGGTTGCTAGAGAAAGCATGGCCAAATTTGAGTGGTGGCTCACAATGTATCTGCAGTCATTGATGTTGCTTTTGAAGATCTGTTTGCATGTTAAATAATGGGGTGGGAAAAATTCCACTTCAGAGTTGTTGGGTTTTCCTTTTCTAGTGGACTGTACTGTCTAACATACTGAAGACAATTACTTTCTTTTCCATATTTCAGAGTACTTTGTAACTGGGGTGTGCCTGAATGCATCAGCCTTTGGATGTGAGCATCTTCTCTTGAAACAGTCTCGTGATACCCAACTGCCTGCTCTCTCGGGGTAAGAAGAGAAATACACATGCAGAGATTGAGAATGTGGTTTGGGCAGAAGCAGAACAGCAAGAGAAGTCAATCAGTACTGGTACCTCAGCTGGTAAATTTTGGAAATAGGGAACTTGTCATGGAGAAAGGGGGGAAAAAATTGTAAATCTGTCCACTGTAAATAAGACAAATTCTAAACTTGAGTTGCAGCAAGAGAAATTTAGCTGAGGCATTGGTGATGATTTCCTGCATTAAAGCTGATAGTTTGAAAGGCAAAGCTCAGTGTATCTGTGCAGAATGAGCTGCATGTTTTGATGATGGATTGATGCAACAGCAGTTAACTCTGGTGCTCAGTGTCTTTGTTACCTGAATGGTGATGTTGTTCTGGAGGGAAGTGTAAGCTCAGTGACAAGAAGAGGTTTAATCCTCTGTTGTTGGCGTGCAGCATAAACTTGTGGTAAAACCAGAAGGTTTTATCAGTTTTGGCTCCTCTGTAGAAAGTTTCTGGGAGTTTGGTTGTCTTCTGTGGTGCATGTAAGAGTTTTATTCTCAGGTGGGCAATCTCACCTGTTTTATAGTGACATGAGAACACAATGCTACAAATACAGATAAACTGATCAAAACAAAAATATCATGTGGAACACAGAGAGATTGGAGCCAGGGCTGATGAAAGGGAGGAAAGTTTAATTTTTCTTCTCTTGCTTCTCTGTTCTTGTTCTCCATTGTGTTTCTTTGTTGTGTCTTGACAGCAAATACAGCAGGGTCTTCTGAGTTTAAAAATGCTGGCTCACCAGCTGGGTCTTGAAATGATATCCTGAGGATGGCTGTTCCTTTAGTTCCCTTGCTTCTTCCTCCCTTCCATGGGAGCTGCTGATGATAAACTGAGCCTGGACTCAGGCAGCTTCTGAGCCATCAGACTGAGAAGAGTGGGGTTCAGGTGCTTTGTCTTCCTGTGGCTGGTTAAGAAGATCAGTGAGATACCTGTCTTATCTCATAGGATGTCTGAAATTCAGTGGGAAGTTCTTCAACCTCTTGTTGGACTTTGGTTTCTCTAGCAGTTGTATTTCATTCTTGGTGTCAGCAAATACTGGTGTCTCCCCTCGAGTTACACTAGTGTCTTTTTGCTCGTTATCGTCCTCTGCTTAGCAGAGATAAGCTGTTGTGTCCCAGGGGTATGGCAACATGGTAGAGACTTTCATATATCGCTAAGAAATGCAGATGGTGTCAAAAGAGAAATAAGGGATGCCTTTCTGAAGTCACCTTTGTATGTTTTTGTTCTCTTCTCCCCCCTGCCCCGCCCCTTGAGCTTTTAAATTCCTGCAACTATCTGTTGAAATCTTGAAAGCAAAATGCGTTCATGGAAAGATACAATTTACTGTGTGCCTCCCTGATCTTTTGATCTCAATCAATCAAATTAATCCAAGACCTTGCCATTCACCTTGTTTCGAGGACGGTTAATAAGTTGAACGGTTGTGCCAATGGCAGTGATGGCTTTCCAGCCTTGTGCTTCTTTTATTATTGTTATTATTTTTTATGATTCTGACCTTTCGGACTGGTCAGGGTAAGATTATTTGCAAAGAATACTCCATAAATATGCCTGTCAGGACCAGAGTTAACATTCAAGCATTGCTGCTTAGCAAAAGAAAACAGTATACCAAAGTTCAATTTAGATTTTCCTGCAGGGTTGAAAATAATGACAAGACTCATTTAACATGGCAGGGATGAGTCCTGCCACCTTTATGGGAGTGGCTGCCTTGCAGTCCTGCAGCACTATGCAGCTCTGTGCCTGGGTAACTTGGTGGCTGCACCTGAAATTTGGTGTCTGGCATCTGATGCTGGGGTTCACTTGGGGTGGAGGATCCCTGGGTGTATCTCCTGACTCTTCAAGGTGCCAACTCAGTCAGTTAGTAGTTTTCTTTGATTTTGCAACTGATTTTTTTTCCTCTACTACTGTGCTCCTTGCTTTCACTTGCAAATGAGATTTTGTGGAGCTTCTCTAAGCTCTGTCCTGCAAAGCCATCCTGTTCCCATCCTTGCACTCGATCCTTGCCTTCAGTGCAAGCCAGCGTGTGTTCCAAGAGTGGCTTTGGAGAGCCATAGTGCATCCTGGTATCTTGTGAGTTGTGTCCTGTGGGTTGCTTGCTGTGATCTCTGAGTGCTTTGAGAACCCCAGATTTCGGTGGGAAGTTGGTTCCTTTTTACCTTGTTGTGACTGGTCATGGAAACAGTTCCTAGATGTCTCCCACCTAATGTTTGCCACCAAGGAGGCTTGCAGCATCCAGTGGCAAGAATCTTGCTTTACTGTCAGGAAATATAATGGTGATTGTCAGTGTTTCTGCTGTCCTGTCAGCGGAATCGACTCCTCTGGGTGGGAGCAGCATGAGGAGTGAAACTGGGAGCCAGCAGCTGCTATTAAGGCAGTAACGTGCAGTGTTTGAAAGCCACACAGTCTGTTGTATAGAAATAGTTTGTCAGAAGTATGTGGCTCTTCTGAGGTTATCTATTTTTCCTTCCACAGATGAGAAAGTGAAGGTATTGAAGATTGCTTGCTTTGACCACAGGAAGTTCATGTTAGTGGAGCTCTGAGGCTGGGTCTGAAACTCAGATAGGTTTGGCCAAAAAAAAAAAAAAGCTCCGTGTGGTGAAAGGCAGCAAGTTCCCTGAAAAAAGTTATGCCATCAATTGAGAAAGTAGACTGGGACTGGGTGGTGAAATAATAGGGCAAAAAGCAATGCAGCTTGTGGAAGGTCATGCAGCACCTCTGTGCCAGATCCCTGCGGCAGCTCAGCAGCTCTTGGTCCAAGTCAGCAGTGCCGTAACTTGCAGTGAAGCAGGTGGGTCTGGTTCCCTGTCAGCACTGGCTGAGAAGTTTCAAAATAAAATAAATTTATCTTTAGGCTCATGTTCAAATCCAGAAGTTGTTTTTCCGACACCTGTAAATAACCCTTTTCTGGATTTACCTGCCTTGCTCATAAAAGGAGAAGATATGGGAGAAAAGGAGAACTGAGGATGGCAGAGCAGTGCCTTTGTTGTGTGGTGCCATACCCTCACAAGCCTGATGGCCGTGCCATGAGCTGGGGAGAGGTGTCCCCATCCCCATGGACAGCTGCCATCCTTCAGGTGCCAAGGGGAAAAGCCCTTCCACATGCAGGAGTTTTGCATGGCCCAGAAGGCGACACTTTTTTTTTTCTTATTCCAAAAGGGACTGGCAATTAGCAGCAGGGGTAATAGCCACCTGGAATTAAATTGTATGGAGGCATGAGAAATAGTAGGGTATATTTAGAAATATCTATTGCATATATATATACCTCTTAAGAAACATGTTGGAGATGCCATATCCATAAATACTAATAAGGCTGTTTGATTCCAATTTTCAGGTAAGATTAACATTTTATTGAGTATTATATCTGTCACATTCAATGCTTTAGTGTACCATCCTCTCAGGCTTATTAGCATAATTGCAGTGCTTAAGCAACAATAAAAAATTCAACAGTAAAATAGCGGTTAGCACAGGCAATTTGTTATCAAAAGCTTTTACTTAAGGACAGCTTTTGAGAATATTTATTATCCAGTTAGGCCTATACATTATTTTTATTTAGAAAAACAAGAGGGAAACATTGTAGGTTTTTTTTTTTTTTTTTTTTTTTTAATGTCTAAATCAGAAGGCCTGAAAATTGGTCACAGCCTTTTTCTGTTTCTTATAATTGCTCGGCAAATTCGTTCGGAGTGGGAAGGCAAGACGGCGAAACAAACTCAGGTCTGGAGCAGAACTGTGACATTAATAACTTGGCAGAACAATTCTGTTAAATTCTGATGCTGACTTGGATTCCCTCGTTGCATCCCAGACCCTGAAGACACTGTCCTCCCCCTCTGTGGCCGATGGCACTGTCACCAGAGCAGCACGAAGGCAAGAGTGGCCCAGCCTCTTGTCCTACCACTGGCTGCAGCCTGGGAGTCAATGTAACCGTGTGCTGCAGGGGTGATGCACTTGCAGACAAGGGGAGGGACTTGATGGGACCTGCAGGAAAATGGACTTCGATGTCAGTGCTGGTTGTCTCTGAGGCTGGAGCAGAGGAGCATGGCCTGGCACTGTGACAGTGCTGCACACTCCCTCTGTTCCTTTTCTCACTTTGAGGACATTTATGGGAACAGTCCTTTTCCAGAAGATATATAGCATGGATGTGAATGCACGTCTGTTTTTGTGCATGCACCTGCTTGTGCACATACACACAGAAAGTCTCTGTTGCCAGCATGGCAAAATTTCATGTGAGTATTTTAATTTTCTATGTGCATTTAAAATAAAAAGTTGTACCTCATAAATGAAGAAGTAAATGAGTTTTAAACAACACAAGAAATCCCTAGACTAAGAAGTCCATCGAGAAAAGCATATGTATGTGGTGAGAGGAAGACTTGCTGTGATTGCTTGTGATTCCTTTGCTGGTGGAGCCTTGTTACAGACTCTCTCTCTGCTTGGTTTGCTCCTCCAACACCCTTCAGACTTGTAAACGTGTCTGGTTTTTTTGCTCCCATTTTGACTGTTGTCTAAGTTTACCGTGAGGAGAAGTGAAGGCAGTGCTGCTGCCACAGGGAAGAAGCTTGTGTTCATAGTGAAACAGGATGTGCAAGCAGGTTGTAGGAATTGGGAAGGGAGCACATGGAAGCAGGTGAAACTAAGCTGGGCACGTATTAGAGAAGTGATGTGCTTGTGGGGTCCTCTTCACAAACAGCTTCTTCTGTGAATATGTAGAATTTGAAAGGAGCTGGTTGTTTCAGATCCCTTTTTTTGAGGGTGGGATAAAAATGCACTGTTATTATTCAGAGATGAATTGTATGTATCAGATTCGAGGGTAGTTGAGTATTGCATTGGTGCACAGCTCACTCTCATGAAACTGCCTAGCACTGCATGGTGTTTAGACTTTCTGTCAACAGAGAGCTTGGTGAGGCTCCTGGGAATATGAGTACACAGAAACTGACTAAAGCTAAACTTCCTGGGAACTTTGCTTTCGGTGGAAATTTAAC